GTTTTCCTGTATGAAAACACTACCTCATACCATCAACAATGCTTTCCTTTTTCTCTGCTGTTCTCAAGCCTCACCTAAACAAGAAACACTCCTTCCTTTAACAGATAACTCATTTTTCCTCTAGAAGAAAATATCAAATCTCCAACTTGAAAACCTGAAGGGTAACAAAGTATCATAGGGTTCATGATGTTTTTTTTTTCTCTCAGCTGTCTCGTATCCAGAGAGAGACAGTAATTATTGTTTTACCTCTCACCTAAGACATAGATAAAAACAGGCTGGAGTTGCATTGCTGTTTTGCACTACAACTGCTTGTTTGCAAGGCTGTCTGAACTACTTGAATGCTTTTTGACAGTAATGCTCCCCAGGTGCAAACAGACCTGTTCCTCGTGCTTAGAAGGAGGCCACTTAGATGTCCCCAGAGCTTGGGTCTATGCCATACCAGCAGTGTTCAAACAGTGTATTTGCAGTGGTCCCTTGCAATCTGTTCCTCTTTCCATCAGCACAGTGCTGAGTGACATTCCCTTTCCACCTGCGTGGACTGCACAGGTACATGACTAGATTTCAGAAGTACAAGTGTAACAGAACTGAAACAACAGTAATGACATTAATTGCTTTTAATCTCTGCTCTTTTTAGCAACTGTCTTTATCCCAACCACCAAAGAATCTCCTGTTACAACCAAGCAATTATCTACTGTCTTCTCCTGATGAACTTCTTGCTTTCTCTACCTTCTACTTTTCAGCCTTCAAGGAAACAATTCCACCCTACAGGTATCTCAATATAGCTTTTTGGTCCAGTTTTTCAGCATTTTGTCTGAGTGTCTGAATCAAGACCTCCTAAACCTCCCAAATGCTGTTTAGGCAAAGGAAGATTTTTTTTTTTTCCATTCACAAAGTCATCAGCTTGGTTCAGGTTTTACCTCACTCACCTTTTGTAGCTCACTCTGAAACAGCTTGCAGTTATAAGTTCAACAATACTACTATGCTCAACCCTTACACTGTTTCTGACTTGGGCAGGCTGTCACCCAGATGTTCAGCAAACCACATCTGGGCTGCTAATTCAACACTTCCCTATAACTCCAGTATTACTTTGCCATGTGGTACTTGTCTGAGCTGAGTACAGCTCTACAGACTTGGCTCAGGTGTAGCAAAGTTTAAATAACTCTGCATCAGACTTAGACTTGGGAGACCGAAGTCAGCTGGAAGCCATGGCATTCACACCACAGCTGCATCAATTCCTAGTCAGGCAAAGAGGATAACAGAACACAGACTTGGGTACTTTGCAAACACACTATTCCACAGTGAATTACAGTCTAGTCATGCCTAACGTAAATAAAGGCCAGTCCATGCTGTGTCACACATGAGACATAGCAGAAGAGAAATGCAGAGAAAAGCAGACAACACTGAAAGGATCACAAGCACAGGGAGATGAAGAAACTCCCAAAGTAATGTCTGCATTTTTTATCCTGCAGAGACTGGAGTCACAGACAAGCTGGAGAACCACTGAGATGAAGACACTGAAGCAGTAAGTCCGTCCCAAATTTTCAGTGCTGAGAGAAGCACAAGATGGATGTAAAATAGATGGAAGGAATACTCAGCCAGATCCATGGTGGGAAAAATGGCAAAGTTGGAGTGTGAGGACCAGGAAATCCCCTACATCTTGAAACAGAGTAATTGTCTACAGGACAGACTAGCATGTTCTTCCTCTGACAGTAGAAGTGATAGAGTGATATAACCCCAAACACACAAAGCCATGATGAGCAGAAAGGGGGAATGGAACCTAAAACAGTTTGGACTAGTCTGTAACTGGAAGTTGCCTTCAGTAGATACTTGAAATGATCGTGTATGTCTCGACAGTCAAGAGTAAGTATTGATTTCATTACAGAATGTGTTACATCAGTTGAGTTTGGGAATGTGCTGGAAATTCCCAGTAGGATGAATGAGAATAATATCATGCAAAACAATATCACGGCACATGGCATTTGCAGGGGAAGAAGGCAGCAGACGAAAGAGGCGCTGGAGCTGAAAAAAAGCTGCAAGGAATGTGACATCTGCTAAATCAGATAAAGATACTGCTATGTGCCTAAAGGAAGGATGTGCCGTACAAGCACAGTATTCCAGACTGACACCCATGATGTTCATGGAAGAAGGAGGCATATGAAGTGGGACAGCAAATGCTAATCATAATACAGGAAAAAGGACAGCAAGGGCAGACTTATCTGGGACATCAACAAGCAGTAGGGGGTTGTTAGTATTGTGAGTGTGACCAGGGAAAAGGCTTAGATGAAAAAGTACCCCAGTTAGAGGATGTGACACTGCTGTCTGCTTTCACAACAGGAGCACGAAAAGTCAGCACCAGCCTAGGAAATAGAGGAGTGAGGCAGGCCAGGAGTTGGAGGACAGGATGATTCTCGGGAGAAAGGATCATTTTCTCTCTGCTTTAGAAACTGGACTGTTGACTGAAGGTTCTGGGAAAAATACCTGTGCACAAAGAATGTATAATTTGGGATAATACAGTTTCATGTAGAAGGTATCTAGGCTGGGAGGGCTGGAGAGAGACTTCTGAAAGGGTATACAAGCCTGCTTCATCAACCTCAGGCCAGGAAAGATACCAACCATATAATTCAAGACTTGTACTTGATTCCTCTGAGGTTTAATTGCACACTTGTAAATAAAACATTAATGAAATGTCTCCTTTAAAGCTTGATATATATTAAAATATTAAGAGGAAGACAAGAGCTGTGAAAACCACATTGCCCTACTGGTTTGTTCAGGCTTCAGCTCTCCTGAGGGAGAGACTGAAGAAACAATTTATACTTTATGCAAAGCCCTAGGACCATGAACACTTCTTTTCAGGCAGAATAAAAAGGATAAAGTGTGAAATATCTGGGGCACGCTGCAGCAGGATTTCTGTTGATGTCAGGTGTATTTTCCTAGCATAACTGACCACCTGCTGCTTCAGAGACACTGACTCCCAAATAAATGTTTTAACCTCCATTTTGCAGATCTACCAAAAAAACCCAAACCAACCCAACAAACAAAAACAATAAATTGCATGCCTGCTTGTGTGAAAAAGAGGAAGGGTGCCCCAGTGTAATTGCACAACTTATTCAGGATGCTTAAGCATCCCACCACAAAGCATCCCTTTGAAGATAGTTACCAGGCTATTTCTGCAGTCTGTGGAGATATGCAGGCCCTTTGGATGATTCATCTCATGTGATGGCACACAACAGAAATAGCTGGATGAAATCCACTTTGAAAATGCCTCCCCCAGCAGTTCATTTCCCAACTGACCTTTAAATAACAGGTACATCTACCAGTGGGCTCTTGCCACACAGGGATGGAGACTACACACTTAAAACGTCTTCACAGCTTTCCCAATTTACAGCCATACTCCCATCTTTGCACAAAAAGAGCCAAAACTGAAAAAGGAGACACCTTTTTTCTGCCAACAAGCCCAAGATGCTGTTTGCTAATGCATTTCCCTTTGTAGCCTCAGCTGCACTGGAAAACAAGGAAAATTCTGTGCTAACTAAAGGAGTGAACAGTTCATGCATAACACGTTCTGGACTGCTGCTGAGATGGATGGCAGAGGGAAATGGTGGTTCTCTCTGTAACCTTTGTACAACTGATCCCCCACTAAACTAGCCCCAGAGAAGCCTGCTTGTAGCAAAGATGGAGAGAGATCCAAGGGCAATGCACACAGTTAAATCAATATGAACAGAGGCATTTGCAGTAATGGCATCTTATGGCCATCTTTATCAACAAATCTCCAGTGCAAAATGAAACTACACTAGCAAAACACCTTTGTAGTGGGTCGAGAGATGAAAGTACACCTCCATGTTAACTATGCTGCCTTCCCCTTTGCACTGATTTGGGAATACACATATAATGTTAAGAAAATTGAATCATATACACTTAGCACCCCTGCACTCTGCAGTCAACACTACTAACAGCACAGTCAAAATTCTCAAAGCCTATCCTTACATTGTTACATAGGCAAAACTCATCCTAAAATCAGTGGGAAAAATGGGTGAATAAAGACTGGAAAAGAACCAAAGTCCCAATTCAACTCTCAGCTGATCTGTTCAGTGTGACCATCAGCAATGGAAACACTTTCCATTTTCACCATCATGATTACAGTTGGGCTCAATAATCCAAATTTTGCCTCTTCTTAATTCCAGCATAAACTGGGTAGAGATGCAAAACAGAATTTAGCATCTAACTTCTCAAGGTTAAGCCATAAGGTAATCATAGCAAACTGGAAACAAATCAGCCTCTGAGGTTTTTTTCCCTCCTCTTACTGCCATTTTCCCATAACTGACTGAAAGGACTTTTTTTTTTTAACAAAAGTTCTTATTTCCTCTAGTGCCAGGCACCACATTGTGTTTGGCATGCCTCTATTTCTGTACGTCTCTGATAGCCTTTCCTCCACAGATGTCTATATAAAGTTCACATTAGTCAGTTCTTCAAACTAGGTATGAACATCAATGCAGACGATTTTGTTCCAAGCACACAGCTTTTCTTACGTATGTGCTCTGCTGTTCATTTTTGCTTCCACAGAGACCACAGAATTGCTACGTACCCAGAGCAATCAGAATGTCTGTGATGCTTAACACAGGCAGTATGCTCTCATAACGGCACATTTTCACTGTTAGCAATGAGGCCTGACACCACAGCAGCTTATGGCAGTTTGCTGGGGGAACATGGAGGTTTCTTTTTGACGACGGGGTTGTTTTTGTTTTTTTTTTTTTTACCTTTTCCTAATTCCCTTCCAGAAATGACATTCCTTGAAAATGCATGTGTAAAAATAAATGAAGAAAAGAAAACAGGAAACAACCAGCACAAAACCTCCTCACAGTTAATACCGTAACATTTCTTGTGTAAATGATTAGGGTCTCGCACCATCTGAAGTGAGGAGAAAAAGGGGCAATATATTTGACTCATTACATCCATTACAAGAGTTAGAGATACAGAAAAGAAAAAAAAAAGGTTATAGTTACCTCTGTTGAGTGAAGCTGAACTGTTTATATCTCCAGTAATAAAGGAAGACTCGGACTGCTTTCGAACTGTGTCATTCCACATCCTACGAATCCGGCTCTGAAAAGGGATTGAACCACAGCAGGTAATGAATTTTTAGCAGCCGCAGATAGGTTTCTTTCTGCCTCACTAAAGATGGGCTATTGGGGTGCCTAGCTCAGGATGAGACTTGTTTCTATCCAGCTGTAAGCAAGCAGTTGCTGTTTGGTTATAACCATCTTGTGCATACCAAACACTGCCTGCCTAACTTCATAACACAAACGCCTCTCTCAAATAAGAAGTGCATAATAGGATTGCTCATTTTGCTTACCTCTTAATTAAAAAAAAACAATAGAAATCACTTGTGAGAGGAACCCAAACCCATGCAAGCTCAAGATTTACCAATATTGCACCAAATAACTGAAAAATAACTTACACACAGAAGCATGCACATTTCCCATATTACCTAGGATAGTAATAGGATTTGCAATTTTCTGCAAAGCATTGAACAGTTGCTTTGTTTCTTGGTGTCCCTGAATGCGTGGAAGTTTTTGTAGCTACTATCCATATTGGGGAATGTAGGCAAAAAAAAAAAAACAACAAAACCCACAGCAAATGAGTAATTTCTATTTTTTCCTACTGAAAAATCCGTAATGATTTTGCTATCAGTGTTATGGCTTCTGCTGGTGGGGAAACAATGTCCCAAACATGTTGGTCTTCTGTTTTGCTTCTCAGACATGAAGCAGAGCATTTACTTTTGTGGCTTTTACACCACTGCCTTGCTCTTTCCCCACTAGACCTTTCAAAAAAATCAGAAAGTCAGCTGTGCACATCTTGTGAACATCCTGCTGCAGACCCACGCCTCATCTCACACAGTATGTCGAATGTATTCCACAGCTACATGAAAGGACTGCTAGGCCATCTTGGAGATTCAGAATGCTGTTTGCCACTGTGGCAGACTATGTTTCTCCTAGTCAGTGAAAAGCCAGTGCTCCCCACAGCGGGGTCTTAGCCATGTGAAATCTCCCAGGGCTCACTTGGTCACAGCTTGTTCTCCAGTCATTAACCACGTACTAATGGCATCTCCTAAGCATGCATTAGTCCTCTAGAAATTGAACCAGAACATAATATGCAGCCCATGGACTTTTATAGCGGTTCTTTTTCACCTGGGCATTTAATCTCTTGCATTCCTCTGACATGATCCATATGGATTAACTATTCTGTATCCTAAGTGCTTTTCAGAGGAAAAAACAAAAGAGATCTAATGAGTTGTGCTCCTCTTGGACTTTTCATAAATCAGGAGTCAGATATATTCTACAGAGCAGATCTCCATCTACTCTCTTTCTCCCACAAGAGGTTTCTCCTGCCTCTGATAGGGCTCAAACACTTCCACTCTTTACAAGAACAAGCTTGTAACAGAAAATAACCAACCACAGTACCTCAAGCACTCCCTGTGAGAAGGGGACTATCCTCAGGAGTCAGTGCAGTGCTGAGGCTGCCAAGGAGGAGGCCCACATCAATGTTACTGGATACAGTATCTTTGTATGTTATTGATTACTGTGAGATTTGATGGCCTACTGGGGAGAAGCTCCATATTCTATTGCTGTTATTTGCCCTGTATTACATCCACACCTAAGTAAATGCCAAAGTGGAGTTCTTGGATGACATTTTGGAAGCCATTCAAAATAAATAACAATTTGCTCCAAGACATAAATCACAAACTGTGTTTTCCTGGGAGGTTGTAAACTGGTATTCGCTGCATGTGTTTCATAGTTTAATAGCTGAACTGTCACATATAATTACTTTCATTAGTAATACTGAATAAATTTGTATTTGGTTTCTATTGATTAAGAAGTAAGCTTCTTCATTCTCTACCCTTCCATAAATCTGTTCCTGCACATACAAGTTAGCTTGAAAATGACTAAAAGTACAAGTTACACAAAATATGAAACTTAGGTGACCAAAACATAACAAATCCTGTGACTAAATGAGATAATATAGCCCCAGTGGGTTACTTTAAGAGATAAGCTGAGGAAAATCAAGTGAGATAATGGAACTGATCAAACCACTGAATGTCAGAAACTAAGCCTTTTCACTATGAAGGCTATTGCAGCACTCTTGTAGTCTTTCTTTCTTTTTTTTTTTTTTTTTAAGCAAGAAAAACAGTTATTTTATGATTTCTTTACATGGTGATAGCAGTGACAACAACCGTGAGATGGCAATTAAAGGACATGCTGGGTTGCAGTACAGCCAACAAAATGCTCCCAAGCTCTTGATCTCCATGGAGAGCAGGTAGGATAGCTCAGGTTATGAGCACTCACCTGCCTCTGAGTGGCAAATGTGGACTTTTTGTGCCCACTGCAATTATTCAGGAGGTTCTTGGAGAGGTACTAATTGCAAACAAATCCCAAGAGAAGCAACCATGTTGAATTCAGGTCTGGGAAATGGGGAAATCTCTGCAGCTGCAATGTAGGTAGCTTTATGGCAGCTTCTTGGACTCCTACCAAACTTGCTGGAGGGTGAGGCACAGAGGAGAGCTTCTCACCCAACATGGAAATTGATGCAGAAATGCCAAGTCCTGGGGCAAGGACAAGAAGCATGGGTTACCTGTGAGCCTGTGGAATATCTTCCAGGTGTCCGTGACCCCGAGGTTTTTCCTGAGCCAATAGAGCTCTCTGTACTTTTCCCACTACAGCAATGTGTGCGCAGGCATTTTCCGTACTCTTTACGTACCTAGCCAAGGAAACAGTAATGGTGGTTAGTGGGCAGCTCCTCCTCCACCCCACAGCCTTAAAATTGTCAACATGGCTGCTGATTTTTCCTTGGTGGTTCATTAAAATGATAGCTATTGTGGGAAATGAGCCTATTTTACACCTTGCAGCTGACTGCTCCTGCAGTGTTAGCTCACCATTTACGAGGGCGTAAGGGACTGCTTTTATCTGGCAAAGCTGCTCATTGACACCAGTCAGTTGTAGCTACCTCTGAGGCACATCAAAGGAGCACTGCAGAAACTACAGATACACTATTTATGACTGAAAATTAATATCCTCATAGATTTGATGTAAACTGGCATATTGGCTCATCAAGGTACTAAAAGTTATTGCTTCTGGCAGGGGACTAAAAAGAAAGATTCCAAAAGAAACATATATGAGCTATTGATTAAAATATATATATATATATATATATATATATATATATATATATTTCTTGCAGTTAAACTGAAATTTGAGGAAACTGTACAGCCAGTAGCCCTAGAGACTGTATTGTCAGTCTGTAGGGGCAGCTAGAGCCTGCTTCTCCACAGCACTGTGCAGAGCATGTTTTAAATGGGCACTGCAGGCAAACCTGGACACCTCTTCACCTGCAGGAAAGCAATGTCACCTTCATGGGAACTGTGCTGAGCTGTGCCAGGGCAGGAGCTGGGCTTTGGCTGAGCTTCATGTCTGCGTATGTGTGATTTTAATAGGCAGCAACACCCAGAAAGTAAATGGGGCTAGGCTGAAAATGAACACATTGCACTGAATAACCAAACGCAGGTCATGTTGCCTATTGATGAAAAAAAATAATAATAATACACACATGAACTAAAACACCAGTTGTGATTACTTGGAGCACACAGTTAGCTGCAAAATGTCTCTAGACCATCTACGAGCATTTGAAAACTCTGCAGAACAACTGTTTAAACAGCAAATTACAGCTTTTTCATTAGGCTTTTCCTTAAGAGCCTGAGACAAACACAATACCACGAGTGCCCAATACGCTCGAGTGCCTAATCAATCCTTTGCTGAGGGAAAATAATTCAATTGCTTTAATTAGCCACCCACTGCTTGCCTCTCTGCAGCTTTCTGCTGATTTTCTAGTCCATGATAGATAGGATTTTTTTTTCCCCCTCTCAAACCATTCCTCTTTCAGCTTTCGGATCAGAGAGATGCACCCCCCCACAGCCAGCTACTGGTTGCACTCTCCTCTCCTCTATGCAGTTGTAAATCAGGAGCAACCCCAAAGGCATCAGTGGTGGTTTAAGAGCATAGACTGGCTTGAGGCAGAATGGCAGAAGGGATTTGAATGCCTACTGAACACCCTAGGAGAGTACAGTGCCATGATGGGATGCTGTGCTGGAGACTGAGGCAGCTTAGTTACATTGACAGATTGGGACTCAGATGTATCCACATGTAAACTCTTCTATATGCTTATCTTGGATATAGAGTTTGGCCTGTGAAACCAAGATGTACATCAACAATTATCAGTAGGTTTGCACAGACCGAGAGAGATGTGCGCTACTGAGTTCCAGTGGAGAATAAAAAGGTTCTTAAAAATATTTATTACTGACTGTCAAAGTTTGTAAATTTGATCTACATATGCATGAGGAGATTTTTATTTCTCTTTTTCCAACTGGGGTTTACCTAAGTTATTCCACTGTTACCTCGCAATGTTAATTGGGGCATATTTCAAGTTCCACCAAGAAGTACTTACTGTGCATGGAAGATTTTCAAAAACCCACATTACAGCCAAGCTATGCAAAAGCTAGCGAACTGTTGCAGAGCGTGGCTCCTTCTGCTCTTGAAAAAGTGGGAGAAGCAGCCCGTTACATACTTTCTCCAAGATATACTACTACAGAAAGAGACTGTTTCCTGCAAGGACTGCAAATGAAGATGTATAGCCCCATTTCGCTGTGACACACGAGGACCTTCTGGATGCTTGTGGTGCTACTTACGCCTCACACTGGTGTAAGGAAAAGGAGAATCTGGCCAACAGCAGGCAGAGCCCTTTTGCAGGTTTGCTATCACAAAGCCCTGCAAAGCACGAGTTGCCTTGTGCGCTGCCTCCCATGTGCTCACCGCTAGCACCCTGGCTGCCGAAATGCCATTGCCACATATCTTCGTTATCGCCTCACTCCCCTGCCAGTTTCCACTCTAAATACCACCCCTATTAGGCACACGGAGACAAATCTGCTCGATCTGAATTCAGGGCACATGCGCCAACACTATGCTGTGGTTGTTAGGCAACAAAACACACTGTTACCACCGCTTGTGCCGCTGAGAACCGTCTGTCTTACCTTTTTCTGGAGGACACAATGGAAAATGAATATAAACATTCCCTGCAGAGAATTGAATATGGTGAAGAGATACGCCATGATGACTGTGCTTTCATTAATATACATGAGTCCAAATGCCCAGGTCAGTCCTAATAGGCAGAGCAGGGCTATCGCACCTATCACCCAGGACCTGTTAGAAGAAACAAAAAAAAAAAAAAAGAAAAGGATTGGTCTTTCATCTATAAAATATGGCACATGTCTGCAAACAGGGAGAGCTTTGGCCATGGTTTTAGCAAAAAGAAAACACATCAAAATGAGCTGTAGGGATTTTTGTCTTCAGTTGGATGCAGTTTACAAGTCTTGGAGCTTGAGTAAATATACGAAAATGGAAATGTTATGAGAATGGAAATTCATCATAACCAAAGCGTCTGCAGTGTTTCTGGCTTTTTTTCCCCATTTGTTTAATGTAAAAGCAGTGTTTATGTATATGACACAATGTAGATGCCGTTTCTGTAAATGGCAGGGAAAAAAGAAAATAAACCAACCAAAACAACTATGAATGTCACTTTTTTAATGGCCACTGGTTTGCCTGGGGCAGGAGCGCTAGCTGGATTAGCTTCTTTACAACTACCACCAAGACACACTTACTGCTGCCCTTTAGCTGGTCTCCCATAAGAGACCAGCCAAACTACAACAAGCAGGTATTTGCCAGATCAGCTCCTTGCAAGGATGCTCTCTGACACTGCTTCACACTGCTCCATGGTGAAGGAAAATACAGACACGCGTATATGTGCCCACACACCATGTCTGCTCCAACAGCAAACTCTGTCCCAGCAAGCTTCTGCAAGGACAGACAGCATCTAACTGTCTTTCCACTGAGAGAAATGGTGCCTCTCTACTCCTCGGAGAGGCCAAGGACAACCAGAGTACCTGGGCCATGGGATTGCTGTTGCATATCATTTTTTCAGTTGGATTTTAGGCAGCCTGGGAGGGCAGGGGAAACATTCCACATTTCCCCGCTAAATAAAGTTAATCATGTGCTAAATTGACTTCTCAGAGGCTGATCTTCCAATATCAGAAAAAGAGGTAGTGTGGAAAGCAGCATGGGGGCAGACCGGGGACCGGCTCCTGCTCCTAACCACCAACCTCAATTTCCAAGTTCTTATTTATCTTGACTTTATGAGAACGGCTGCCACATAGGGGAGAGAACCAGCTACCAGCTGGGAGACACAGCTGCACAGCAAGCAGCACTGTGAGCATCCCTTTGACCTTTCCTTCACGATTCTTTCCTCTTCCCTAGAAACAAGCAGGTACTGCATCATAAAAATGAATGAAATAATACTGCACCCCTTCCTCACCATTAACCCGTTGGTTCTCCAGAGCAGACAAGTCTGCAGCCAGTCAATATCTCTGTTTCTTTGACTGCCTGAAGCAGCTCTAGCTGCTACCAAAGGCTCATGGAACAATCTGCCTATGTTTTGGTTAACTGAGATGCTCCAGCCCCGCAGAAACATGAATGGGGTCTGGGAGTATCTGGGTTGCTCTCTCCTAGGCAGGGCATGGGGTAGGAGAGAGAAAGATGAAGCAGCAATAGCTCAGAGGAAAAAGCCCAGTGCAGGGCAGACTGACAGTCTCCCCTGTTGAGACTCCACAGCACCTGCAGCTGTGAATCCCCTTGCTTTTAGCAGGGCTTGTTGCAAACAGAAGCACACTGCTGTTCTATTAATGTTTACTGTTGTTTTTCTTTAGGTATTAGAATGAAAATACAGCAATATTCCTTCCACTGGAGTTTATAAAATATGTATTTTCTGAGCACATGGCCAGAAGAGCTCCCCAAGGTAACTGCTTACTTAAGTAGTTCTTTAAAAATCACTATTATGTATCTATCAGACCAGAACAGTTCCTTTGAAGCATTTCCAGCCAATCCCGCTAATAAATATTTAGCATGATGCAAATTGAAAAGGCATTCTCAAAATCCTTTGGTAAGGTAGACACTAGATAACATTTACAGCATTCACCACTTGGTATATTTTTCTCCCTGAGATTCCACCATCAGTGAGAGCACATTATAATTTTAATGGTATGCCAATTTTAAAAATACAAATCTTTTTATGCTATTAAAAAAAAAAAACAAAACCCACAAAACAAAAAAACACCAAAAACAAATGAAGTGAAAAATACTGTTTTTTTTTCCTCTCCCTTCTCTTTCTCACCATGATCAAAAGGTTCTTCCAATTACAAAGACTTCCAAAAACGATCCACAGAATATCAGGAAACTATACTGCCCTGCACTGCAGCCAACTCTTGAACCTGATTCAAGAGCCTTAGGCTGCAGATGTGTGAAACAGTTATTGAGCAATGAGAGTGGAAATATGCTACCTTTAGTGATGGAAAGGAATCTTTGGGTTAGAAGACCCTCAACAGTGCAAACTGTACGAGATACAGGATTGTGCTTCAGAAAACAGACCTGGAGATAAAGAGGGCATGGAGATTACTTTGAATGGCTCCATCCCGTGCCCGCAGAAAAAAAGGAATCAAGAAATGAAAGAGAATATGGGAATGATGCTGCAGGAATGAACACAAAGGACTCTTCACCAGAAGAACAAACTGAAAGTCTACTGCAAAGTTGGTCAGCTTTTATTCCGTGTTACTGTGCTTTGCTTTTTGGTTGCAAGAGAGAAAGCACGGATGCCCTAAGGCATGTAATTTCTGAGCATTTTTGGCTTGCTTTGCAGGATTTTTTTTTGCGTGGCTTATTTGTGGTTTTTGTTTTTCTTTGTACAGACTTGCTGTTGGTTTTCCACAATTTCTCTTTTCCATAGTTCAATTTTGTAACAATAAAGAAACAAACATATAATGTTTTGGTATAATTGAAAATTAGAGACAATTGGGTACTCCACTGTGGAAGGAGATTATCTGCTGAATACAGATTAGTTTGCACTGCACCCATCAGCCAGAATGGGAATCACATGGGTTATCACACATGCTCTTTTCTGAAAATTTTCTTCTGTATTTACATTACCACAAAGCACCCTCAGTGCTGGAGCACAGTGGACCAGAAGGTTGCTATTGGTATAACAAGTCTGTATTAAACACCATTTCTTCAGAATATTCAATATATTTGAATTCAAGTAACGCCCAATCAAAGAATATACAGCCAATATAGTAGCAATCGGTTGGCAATACATATGCAGAACATTAACTCTGCACGTTAGCTGTATGCCTGGCCATTTTTCTGCACAGTTTGCTCTTCTGCCTCAAATGCGAATGACAGAAGCTTTAATGATTTTTCAATATTGATCTGACAGCTGGTTCATGGGACCACACTGATAAATGAAATTTATCAGCCATTCAGGTCATTCTTACTTGATGAAGGGTCTGTTATCCTCATAGCTAAAGAATGCGTAGACATAAAGACAAGAACACCAACATTAGAAATATAATGACATATAGAGAATATAGCTTGCTGCTCATCCCCCCTCCCTTCTCCCATCAGCCACCACCAAAACAAAAGCAAAGAGCATCAAGTGTCATTAGGTATGCTTGCTGCATGCGAGCCAGTCTGACTCACTGCCCTGTGACCGAGTAAGGCTTTGCACATGGAAGCAAGCATGACCAGCTGTGAGCTGCAGCCAGCCCCTCCTTGACTTGGCTCTGACACTGGCCATGCAACTGTCAATTGACTGAAATTTTTGATAAAAAACCTGGCTCTCACTGAAAAAGACTACCTTTGGAATTCCAGTATAGCTACACAGAAAGCTTGCACACATCCTTGAATATAAAATCTCACTGCACTTTCAGTATTCTCCACCTGATACATTGTAGTGTGTTACTGGAACCTTACTGCTCCTTTTCATAAGCATAATTCCCAACATACTAGTCAGACTACAGCATTATCTTACTTTTGAGAGAATGGTTTCAAGATCTGCCAGTCCCAGCCTCAACCTGGCATGGTCACCCACAGGTTTTTTTGCCTCATTTTTGCCTCACCAAGTCTCTTCAGTGAACTGCAATAGCTTTTCTTCAAGGCTCTGTTTTATCTTCGTACAGGGGAGAAATGTGAAGTCGGTAAACTCAGGTTGCTTTTTAGCTTGAGGTTAACGCTGGGGAGAATTGTCAAAAACCCCCAAGCAGTTTGAGCACCACTTCCAACCCATCTGGATGTGGTTGTGCCTAGGAAAGTGCCCAAAGCAAGCGGATGCTTGAACAAGTGAGATATTCAAACACCCAACTCCCAAGCACTTCAAATCCCTACATGCATGGCCTGTAAGACTTAGTCTCTTACATCTCTTACGAAATACACATCTTTCCTTCTCATTTTACCAACTGAACTGTTGTAAGAAGCTTAACTCTTGTGTTAGCAACAATTCCAGTCTCAAAAAATTACTCCAGAATGTTTTTTTCCAGGTAAAGTCTGTGAAATCTATCAGTGCTGCATTAATACTGTGTCATTATCTGCAGTACATAAAAACCATCTCTTAGACAAGAAAAAAGCCTTGGAACAGTCTTAGCTCAGGGGAAAATGTAGCTGCTTATTGAAAAACTGAGATTATATTTACAAACAGTGCACGCAAATAATAGCTGAAGCATAAATCCTTGGAAAACCTAAGCTAATGCAGTCAGAGAGGCTGGAGCTACCATGGGTTCTCCAGAACTGATTTGCATGAATCCTTCCCAATTCCTGGAAGTAACCAAGGGATTCAACCCATTTAATTTGAACTAAGCAGCTCTGATTCCTGGAAACTGGCACCCACAAAAAGCAATTTGTCTCATATAAGAACGGGTACTTATAGCAGGTGAATCTTTGTCGCTCCCTGAAGAAACACATTTCTCTAATAATTACGGAGGAAATCTGAAGGATTGCTCAGGTGAGGGCTTTACTTTCAAAAGCCTGAAATTAAAAAGCTGATCTTTAGTGACTGTATTATTTCTGCAACCCTGAAAATCCTACTTTACCCCCTTGTGTTTCTTTGCAATCTAGATGATGGATAGTGGATAGTCTACCAAACCATATCAATAAGGAATCCATTTTCTAATCTTAAAAAAGCCCTGACTTTACCTTGGGAAAAAGACTTCTTAGTGTTAATTACACATCATGTGAAATTATTTCAAAATCTTATTTAAGTTAGATGTCTTTCAATTTCTAAAAGTACTTTCTGCTTTAATTATGAGAAAGGATTGTTTGTATTATCTTCTATTTTCTTTCTTTTTTTCTCAGATTATCTACTTATATCCTTGTTTAGATGCTTAAGGAATTTAAAAGCTAATGCATCTTAAGCTGCTTCCAACAAACTAAAAAGACAGAAGCTTGGAAACCTGTTTCACTGCCTATCTTTAAAAACACAACATGTACCTTTTTGACACAAGGTGACCGAATTGCCAGAATATGTACAGGGGCAGAGAAAATCTGTGAATTATATTTTACAGTGCAGCCCACTTCCATGTATGTAAATTGGCATTATCCTGGTTTATCAAGGCCTTATTTATTTCTTTTTTTTTTTTCTTTTCCAGCAGGAGTAAGGCAAGAATTTACACACAGTCATCTTAAAATGCTTCTGAATCAACGATGACTACTATCAGAAAGCAGCTATTCAACTCTCCTTTAAAAAGAACATATGTTAATAAGAACAATATGTTCTTATTTTCAAAAGAGCTTTTTTAAATTTAACGAAGAATGGTATTTGAGCCAGATTTAGAGTAAAACAACACATTTAATAAAGACCAATGTAACTATTCAGACTTTCATACGCTATCATTTTACTCAACTCTTTATGATTTAACAAACTCTAATTGATCACTCTTTTGAGAAGTTGAAGTATTTTCCCATATCTGTTACCAGGAAAAGGCCAGAATGGAGTAAGCATGTGGACTTAGAGCTCAGGCCATAAAATACATGCTTTGGCTAGTGAGTAAAACATGCCAAAGTGATGGCATGGCACACAGAACCTTTAGTAGCTGTTATGAGTGATGAAACTCAAATAAAAATAGATGGATGATGTGCACCATCCGATGCATTCAGAAATGCCCACAGAATTCATTTAAGTATGGCACAAATAAAGTACAGAGACAGATGTTTCCTGAAGGCAAGCACCAGCCTGACACAAAATAAAGCATACTATTGTCTCCCCTCTGTCTACCAATATGAGGCAATAGGGATGTTTGTTTTCTTTGCCTTTTTTTTTAAGTTTCAAGGATTAGAAAACATCGATTTATTGAACTCCTGAAAATCTACAGGAAGTAGCTGGAAAGTCCAGAACTCCTCTCATAAAGCAGAAGGGTTCACTGCTAATTAGTGAAGGAGCGTCTTCATGTGGAGAAAAATCAATAGCAAGCAGTAGAAGAGTGCTTAAAGGATTTGTCTTCACATTTTGTGACAAAGTTACCACGTAAGTGGCACAAAGCCAAATCTTTTTCTAATCACCCTCCTCAGGCCACTGATGTTTGGCACAACAACATTCAAGCAATAATTCCCAGGTCTTGTCTTCCAGCTGCTTTGCTTTGATGGCAGGCCCCCACTTCTCCCCAGCCCACTGGTGCTCATTTGTGGGGTCTTGTTTTGAACGCAGATTGGCGTGGCCATGTGCAAGGGGCTGTGTGCCTTTCGGCTTCCTTTGCAGAAGAAACCCCTAGATTCACACCCTCCCTCAGCCCTGTGTGATGCTCCAGCCCAGGTGGGGTAGCCTACGTCTGTCTTCACACATCAAAGGCAGAAGTACCATTCTTATTCCTCTAAACTTGCCCAGGGAAGTAATGGCTCGCTTTCTGAGATTTGCTCTTAATTATTGCAATTGGAAAGAGCAGTTCTGTTGAGCTCATCTAATTTTCTCCAAGTAATTAATTACCCTCTGAATTGCTTACCCTGCTTATTTCCTTTCTCCTAACTTTGCAAAGGTATGCCATGATTATTCAAAATATACTAATGTGTAACCACATATCTGATTGTTTCCACACCATACAGATTCTGCAAAGCCTTTAGACACGTTTGTATTTCACAATCAGCACAGGCAGGGCTTGCTGACAAAATATTTAAAATGTATGGCCTTTTAAAACAATAATCATGATTTATGGGTTCACAGAAAGACCTGAGGTATTTAATATCTTCCAGAACACTCTCTCAAATCAATAACCACTGATGGATTTTTTTCTCAACTTCTTAAAGGATGACACCTGTCAGTGGAAAGATTAGTGCTTTACAATCACCATCCGACATTAACACAGCCATCACAAAAGCCATAGATAAAGAGGCAAAACCCAAAGCTAAAAGTCAGGTATTAACCAAACAGTGCTGCAAAAAAACTCATGGAGCACTGGAGAGCAACAAACGGAATGTGATGCTGCAATCAACATCAGTGGGCAAGAAAGGCACACAGATAGAAGTGCAATCTCTGATGTTTTTACAGCATAAGCAGGGTTTCTGTCTCTGGGGTGCACACAAACCCCACACCCTGACTAAATACAAATGTGCTATATCTTCGCTTGGCAGGAAGCTTGTAAGTACTTCATTCTGTGCAGTGTGCAGCATCTCCAAGTGGTTCTGCTGGGTTTGCTTTAGGCTGCCTGCTAAAAGTTTGCTCATGCAGAGATGTAGATGAAGATTACATAGAAGCAGCACTGTGCTAACCATGGGGACTATGAAGCACAGCACTTTCTGGACAAGGTCCAGGAAGTTGTAAAGCCAACCACTGGGCTGATGAATGCATCATACTAATGGACTACAGCTCTTGCAGCTCTCAAAGCCATATGGGACACAAAGATCATAGCTTGAGCTCCTGAACTTTGTGTAGTGGGAGATTTCCCAAGGGAGAGAAAAACCTATGAAAAACCTATCCAGAAGTATCCAGATCATTTGGCCATACTTACAAAAAACAAAAACAAAAAACCAACAACAAAAACTAGTCAAGTCTTGCAGTGACAGAGAACGCTGTGCTGTGCAGTGACAGAGAATGCTAGGCCCAAGCAGTGGCTCAGGATCTCTGGTTTTACCCTACTAACAGGTTTTTCTTTCCTGGACTGGAAATAAAAGGATGGTTCCTTTCTGAAAGGCATCTATGGCGTTGCTGTTTTCTCAGTCTGCTGTCCCAGAAGTTAAAGGAGTCCAGAACTGCAGCATGCAGCACAGCTGGCTGGGAAGGAAAAGTTTTCAACGTGTCATTCTTCACAGCCCAGTCAAGATGTCTTGCTACTTTGTCAGCAGGGCCATATGAAATTTTTTAGAAGAAAGTCTGCTCTTTACAGGCAGTGCAATTTTATTTAATACTGAGTTACAGGAAATGCACCAGTCGGGATTTCAGGTCATGGGCTCACTGTGGATCCTGTAACCGTTTGCACTCACTAACTTGTGTTTCAAACTCTGTGCACCTTTTTACCACTCAGGTCAACATATGTACCCCATC